TGTATGTTTGTTAAAAATTCTGAGAATTCCTTGATAAAAGCAGCGCTGTCTTTAGGTGGTCTGTAAACTGTGACAGATAAAAGTGGAGGGCTGCTGAAAACAATAGCATGGAATTCAAAAGTGGTAAAATGATCAACCCTGGTGAATTCATCCTTCCTTTTAAACACCATTAGATATAATGACATCACCTGAGACAGGTGTGGCATCCTCTTCTTGTGTGTCAGTGGGATGTCCTGTCTGCAGCTGCCTGTCCATCCCTCTGTTTGTCCTCAAACATTTGACCTCCAGAAGACAGACATCTTCCTCAGCGATACGCCGCATCGCCATCGTCTGAAACACAGAGAGCAATGAGACCGTTACTGATTGAGATCAACAAAATCATCAATATGGGAACTCCACCTTCAGCTGCTGATACATTCTTTAATCTGAATGAAGGTTTAAACTCTGATGTTCTTCACACCCAGCTTATGTCCTATTGATCAATCAGAGATGTTTATCATTTTATAAAATCTGAGCATAAAGGCTTAAACTTAACGCCAGCTTATGATGAAACAGATGATCACTGAACAGCTGGAGTCAGCTGGCAGACGAATAGTTGCTGATAAACAGAGGGTTAGGTTAGGGTCCCTCTAGCAAGATTTACCTAATAAAGTATCCAAACTAAACCATTTACAGCTAGATGTGAAAATAAAACAGTGTGTTAAAGTAAGTAAGTGAAAAGACTAAATAACCAAGCTCAAGCTCAGCATTCAGGTTACAGTTCGGTGCTTCTCCGGGAACGGTGTGACCACTGTGACCGATGAGGTCGTCGACGTTACGGCGAGCCGGGGCTCCAGCGCTGTGCTAACTCAGGGACCGCAGAGTTCCAGCATCAGCACGGGACCTACCGGGAGCTTCACGGTGTTATGGTGGATCCACACAGAGCCGATTAAAGCTCAAGCTCAAACTGCTCAGCAAACATAAACATGTTGGTGTTTGTGTGTGTGTGAGAGAGAAAGCTAATGTTAGCTTAGTTCGCACACTGAGCAGGCGCAGTATGGTTTGTTTAGCGCGTATTGCTCCAAGATCAATAAATAAAACGGGACCCATTGCCCAGGAGACAGAACCGATCACACCGACGGAAGGAAAGGACTCACCGTCAGGCTGAAACCCACAGCCATCTTTTACGCTCTCATCTTCCGATGTTTGCTCCGTTAGCCTGTTGGCTTAGCTTCTGTTCCGCCAACATCAATACCACTTCCGGGGCGAGACCTTGACTGGGGCTTTGGAGCGACAGAGGAGCGAAAGCACCACATCAGCCAGTAGCGGTTTTTGATACGGGCGACACGGGCGGCATCACGGGCATCGGCAAAAAAA